CGGTCTTTGCCTTGGCACAACAACCAGCAGAATGCAGTTCCACCTTGGCTTAAATGCCACATCAGCGAGCTCTCATCATCCAGCATACACCCCTAATGTCACCACATAGCTTCCTGGCACGCCCACACGACCCTGGGCCGTCCTACGTTCAACGCCCAAGCCTCATCACTGCCCCACACTTCATGGGAAGCACCGAACAGCTATTGCGAAGAATCAATGAAGCTCAGTTCAAACCAGCTCCGATACCAAATTGCAAGGAAAATGAGCAATAGCGAGATGACAATAAGCAGATTGCACAATCACATTGAAGGCCAGATAGTATCACAGTGTCCAGAAAGCAGAAATGCACCAATATAACACCAATGAAGATTCGTAACACTGAAAACCAATGCCAATGAGAGCTTGCTCTCGCCACCACCAACACGAGTGTCCAGGCCCTATCTTCCTACTTGGTGCTCGGCGCCCAGCCTACTATCTACACAGCTACTCTCTGCCTACTAATTGACGATGCAACTGTTGACGTCAGCAGCCTCCGAAGTACTTGAAGATGTCGCCCATGCAGACCATTGCCAATACCAGGTATGTGCCCTCACATCATCATCATCATCATCATCCTTCTCTCTCTCTCTCCCTCGACTTACTCCCACGTCTTCCCTTTATACACCCGAAGACCACCCCTGTGCCTCACTGTAGTCCAAGCCCAACCAGCTATGGAGGCTGGGCTATGGCGCTGCAGGGAGCAGCGCCCTGCTCCCTGCACGACCGCACGTGCTAGCACCTCGCCTCTCAGCACCAGCAGCAGCCCACGAGTGTCCGCTCCAGCAGCACTGCCGCTAGCATGCGAGTGCCTGAATGAGGCTGCCAGTGGCGAGCTCTTCCCTATATCGAAAGAGCCTCTTGGCTTCGCAGCCTGGCTGGACTGGCCTGGGCCCAGAAGCTTCCGGTAGGCCCCAGGATGCTGCGCTTGTGCTGCAGCTACTGGGCCTCTTTCGGTTGGGCCTCACAACTGCCAGTGTATGAGGCTGCGATTCTCACCCAGGGCCTGCATGCTTGGAAAGGCCCAGAAGGCCGCGGATTATGATGCTACTCAGCCTGCGTTTTCCCTCGACCAACTGGCGCGTCGAAACTGCCTGGATCCTCCAAATACAAAACTGACAGCTGAGGGCCTCTCGTGATTTGTTAGGCCCTCCTTCACTTAGGGCGGGCACATCTGCAGTGAGGGCCCTCTTAGGCCTGCCGAGGACCCAGATCCTCGCAGTTTTATTTTCTGTATTTTATTTTTATTTCAAATTTGGTAAGGAATTTGGATGTAATACTCAGGCAAATGCTGTTTATTTTATTTTTCTTCATAACATATCTTTTTTTTCAGATTTTTAAACATTTTTTTTTTTTTTTTTTGATATTTTTTTTTTTGGGTCCGCGTTAGGCTCGAACGACCGAACGCATCCCCAAGGGGTCCCGTACGTTCGCGCGTTCGGCCCGTCCCGAACGGCGGTTACCCTGCCACGGGTGATGATCTAACCCGAAAAGAAAAAAAAAAGAAAAGGAAAAAAAAAGAAAAGAAAAAAAAAGAGGACTCAGCAACACACATTTGAGCACCATTACTGTAATACCTCGTTTCTCGGCCTTGTGGCTAAAAATAGATCGTGTTGTATCTGTTCCGATCACTTTTTTTTACTTTTTTTTTTTTTTTTTCCTGTTCCGATCACTTTAATACCTGATCCATGGCCCACCGGGCCACATAAAACAAAAACAGAAAAAGAAGACCATCACTGTTGTGTTGCACCATAAAATACAATTGCCCCAAATATATGGTAGTAGCAATACCCTGAATCCTCGCAGGGCATACTCACACTACCGTCTTTATCCGAATCGAACGCCCGGTCATTCTAGCGGCATTCGGGCCGAGTTGCGGTCCAGATACAGTGATAATGACCGAGCGTTTTATTCGGGTGAAGACAGTAGGCCATTCTTACTTACTTCTGGACGGAATTGTGGCCAAATGCATCCCGGTGCGGCTGTCAATGGGGTCAGATACACATTTAAGATAGTGCCAGAGTGAGTACGCCCTCAGTTGTCTTGAATCCCCCCTGATTGCAAGCACACACTCTAGTATTAAGGGGCCACTACCTCGATTGGCAGCATCCCAGGTGGCTGGTGGGGGAACCCATAGCATTTTTCAGGTCCTGTGTCAGGCGCATTATGAAACGCCCCTCATTATTCCACATGCCACAACTAAACCAAGACTCCCTTTACTGATATTTTGCCGGCTAGATACTGACTGGAGCTGTATGAGAGAGGTCTCAGGGGGATGGATGCTCACTCACTGATTTACCATCTTCAGCAGGTTGGCCCCTTTACAAGGAAAAGGAGGGCCATCGCCACACACAGTTCCGTTCCGTACTATCTTCTAGCACCTTCCCTACCCATCTGAACTGTGACAGATTATTTAAATTCTTTTTAAGCTCTACTTTTCATCACTTCATTTCCATTTCCATGTGGTACACCTGTGGCCACAGTTGTTTTATTTTTTATTTTTTATTTTTTATTGTTACTCTTCTGAGATACACAGTATTACGCACATTAAAATTGTGATTGGTAGTCCAGTTGATGTAGCTCAGTGGTTAGAGCACCAGTTGGAAATGCGCCTTGTGGTATGAGGTTGCGGGTTCAAAACTCCGCAGCCTTGCGCATGGACACCGGCAGGGCGTTAGAATGACGCACGGCTGGACACACACTCCCCTGGGCTGACGCATGGTACTATTACAGACACTGCCTGCGCACCACCCAGGGACTGTCCATGGTGTTGTATGTTGGGTCCTGGGCTATGAGGGGTTTGCCTGATACAGTTAGCAGTCTAATGGGGATGCAGGTACGGGTTTGTGGTTAGACTGCTCATGTGTGTTGGTTACCTTAGGCTCTGCTTTGGTGGGGGCAAGGACCTTTCCCGTTTGGGGGGAGGGTTGGCTTGGGACAAGCTCTGCTGGAGGATATCGGTGGGGAACCTACAGTAGGGGATTGTCTTAAGGGATCCCGGTAGGAGGGGTGTTAGTAGATAGACTCTGCTGGAGGAAATCGTTGGGGAACCTGCA